GTGAAGTCACACTAAAAGTTCCTGTGAAACTTGAGCTAAATTTTTAAGAACAGAAAATAGGTAAAGGCGAATTTTATCTTTTTTGTTTTATTTTCTTTCTTCCTTCTTTCCTTTTTTATCACCTGAGGGAATTGTTATAATTTTTATTGCTCAGTTCAGTGCAAAATATACCAAATTCAGCTGGAAAAATTAAAAAAAAGTCATTTTGTACACATGACCAGAGGCAGTATCCACACTGAGTACACTTCTGCAGGCCTTCCCCAACTCACTGCATGTAGCATGGGTCAGGAAAGAAACAGCTAGAAGTCCAAAAAAGGGATGCTAGAAAATTTAAGAACCCCGAGCCATTTTACTTTGTAGGATTCTCCTTTCTTATTAAAGGGGAATGATACTAACTGTCTTTACCATGGATTCAAGTTGTTGCACTGATAATTATGTGGAATGTTCTTCGGTGACAAAAAACAGAGCACCAGATCCAAAGGAAGCATTTGAAAGTTGAGGCATTTAAATATATATACAGACTTATTATTTTAGGCCCTAGATGTGCTATATGCAAATATTTCCCTCTTGTAGTTATTCATGTATTTAGATGTCTTTTAATAACAAGTTGCATAAAAATATTGGAATTTATTTATTTTAACCCTTTCAAAGTAGGAAATCTAAAAAATTCAGTACAAAAATATGAACAAATGCTTACTTAGCATTCAGCATTTCTATACATGGTTCTTCCTGATGGGACAGATTTCTAAGTATATTTTTTGTAAAAGTGAGTCATATAAAAACTAATTAAAATTCCAATTGTTTCAAGCACTAAATTCAAAATGTGTAACATATGAAAAAGACCAAGACTATATGGCTGCCTAATCAGTGAGAATCAAAGGCTCAAAAGAGGAAAAACGAAGAGGGAGAGACTGAAAACGAGGTTACCATAAGCTTGAAGGAAGAAGTGATAAAAATGGTGAAAAGTGTTTTAAAAACTATTCAGCCAGCAGCATACACTTGAAAATTGTGTTATCACATGCACAGGGGTTAGGAAACGACTTCCACCCACCCTGGTCATAAGACCTGAATTGTACGCGGCTTGTGTGCTCTTCCTTCCCTGCCCACAGAGCATACTGTCTGCAGCCACATTGCTCTGGATGGCTGGCTAGCAGCTCTCAGCAGGGGAGCCCATTCTTTTATGGTGGAGCTCCCTTGGAGTGACGACCCAGCAACTTTTCTTTCATACGACAGGAGCTCTTTACATGGGAATCACGATGGCTGTGAGAAAGAGAGGCTTAGAGGACATGAGTCCTAATGGGAAGAGCAAACGTGTGCATTTACTGATCACTTTGTATCCTAGGACCCTCAGATACATTGCTTCATATCTTAGCACCGGGACATGCTGGCTACCATTAGTTCATCCTCGCTCTGCTCATTAAGTTCAGAGAGGCTGCATAATCTGCCCAGGAGTTATCCTATTGTAGTGTGTGTAATATACTATCATATCTATTAAGCTACTGGAACTGGAAAGTAATATTACTAAGTGTAAGGCTGCGACTAGAAACAGGTTTGTATATTGCTAAACGTTGGGCTCCTGTCTATTATATGTTATAGGATGCAATATGATATGACTACAAAAAGACATGAAGTAAAGTCTTGCTCTTTTAACAATTTAGTTATGATAGATATTTAGTTTCCTAATATCATTGAACGATGTATGTTTTGTTTTGAATATGAGGAATTTGAGACTGGATCTTGTGCATTTTCTGCTCTTTACTGTAGAATCTTGGCCAGTTATCCTGAACTGAAGAGGATTCTCTAAGCTGTTCGGGATGTCCTACAGTGTGGAGCCCCTCATGACTATAAAGTCACACACCAGGCTCAGGTCCTGCTAACTGTGTTCTAAATCCTCAGCCAAGTCTTTTCATATCTCAAGCCTTAGAAATTCTGGTCTTTCTAGAATGGTATAGCTCCCACCTGTTTGGAGAAGCCATATTCCAAGCCTGAGAGGTAAATAAAGTACCCGAGCTGCTCTTTCATAATACCCTGCTGCGTTCATTCTCAGCCCATAAGTGACATGTGCGTTTTATATTTCCATAGTTCATGTCCATTTTAGTCTACCAAAGAAGAGCGCCAAGGCTGAATCAGAGATGGCATAGGCTCATAACACAAACAACCAGGTAGTATTTGCAGCCTGGTTGTTTACAGTACATGTTGCCCATCCCTGGATGAGACTGCTATTCTCAAGTGAATATTTTCTTTTGGGAAGGGTGCAGTTCAATAAAACTTGTTGACTTAATAAATAAATAAATAACATCCAGCTATAAAATAGGATTACTAAGGACTAAATGGAATAATTTACATTCCATCCTTGGAAACTAATTGGTTATGACTTTCACCAAGCTGTCTGAATGTATCTGTAAGATCAATTGGCAACTCATGAGTTTGTTGTACGTATTAACTTGAGAAACTTAAGAAATTGACTTTATAAAATTAGAAACTGAAAAATGTAAAGTACAAAAAGATTTTGAATTTTTGTCCTTTTTCAATTTCTAGCCTTATTACACTATTTTATGTTTCTAAGTTGGGTTTGGAGTTTTAGTCTTTGTCTACTTGTAAAGGAGACAGGAAAGGCAGAACTCAGTGTAAATGGCCTCTGTCTTAAGACAGCTTCATCTTTCTGAAGCACAGTGTACTAATAAGTTCTGTGGTATTTCAGGGCTCACGTTGGGTTAGCATTTCTTTTCCTGCAGAAGCCCACACTATTCTGTATGTGGTCAAATACACAAACGCAAAGGCAGAAAGAACAGTGCTCACTGCTTTCAAGAAGAAACAGCAGTGAGCCTCCGTGCGAGGTCCTACCAGGCCACCTCAGTGGGGCAGCTTCAGAAAGAGCAAAGCTGCTGACATTTTTCTTTTCAACATGTGAACACACAATTTAAAGAGAGCACAGGTTAGGGGTCCCTCCGCACATTTGCTGGTTTTCATTATCAGAAGTGACCTACATACTTTATGCCCTTTTCCAAGTCGCTCTTTTGACCACTCTCACAAAAATGAGAGATGAGCAGGACCAACATTACCATGAATGACAGCTCTTTAACACCATCAATAGTCATCTTACGCAACCACTGAGACATAGCTTAGAACACAGCAATGTCATTTTTATTAATTTATTTCAACAGTGTTGAATTAAAAGGTCTGTTGTACACACAGATTGAGGAAAATAATATGTCGACTCCAAATTTTACAGAAGAAAATGAGGAAATCAATCCGCAATACTTTCTAAAAAAAATCAAACTAAGCTGAATTTAAATACTTTTTCCCTTTCTAAAAATATTATGACTTCTATTATAGGTAAGAGTATCTATAAGTATAGATCAGTGCAACTCTATGGAAATATTTAAACTTGTTCTCTCAGGAATAGAATGTGATAATTCTTGTATCTCTATGGATGTTTTTTCCCTTAAGAAGAATAGTAAAAGCCCACACAAGTAAACCCCACAGTTGTTCTTCTTTGTATGTAAAAAGAAGATAGAATGAAGCTCACAAAGCTAAAAAATAGGTCATTTTCTTAATAAACTACAAATACTAATTCATGGATTTTTTTTTTCCTCTAACCAAAACAGATTGTAGTCCAAATGACAAGGCCCTCACTGTCAATGGTATGAGATGTTCAATACTGCAGCTTTAATTTCAGTTTCAAGCTATAAACAAATACAAAATTGGGGTTTAATTCTAACATGGATATTGCTTTTTGTCTTGGCCTACAACAATAGACAATCTATATGAAAACATTGATAGATTCCTTCGTGAATTGTATATTTTTCATCATTTAATTCAATGTTAAGTTCAAAGCGATTCAAGTCCTGTGAACCTTAGAAGACAGAATTCTAGTTTAGGAAAAAGTATAATTTAAAAAAAATAGAAAAATCTTCCTAGTTCTTGGAAGCCCATTGGCTTTTTTATAAAGAGGCCATCTATACAGATGACATAATAAAAAATAATAATTTCTATTCATTATAATCTGTAAGTGCGTGCAATATTGTGTTTTAAAATTGAATTTACTCTCGTGTTACAGGAGGTAACAGGGACCTAACAGAAAGTGAGTGTCATTATTCGGTAGCATGTTGAACCTATTCCGGACCATAAACAGGCAGCATGGGAGTGGGGTGTGTGTGTTGAGGGACTGATCTCTCCTCTCTTAAGGCCATGGAATAGGTTCCATTGTGTGAATGCTACTGTGGGTGCCAGGACCACTATAATTCCTCTCAAGGACTGTCACCTGATTGTCAACAAAGCATTGTGTCCAAACTGGCTGGCTACCCTCCCAAAGCCCCAGCCCACTTTCCAGCATAAGGAAAAAGTCAGACTGCAGGCACTCATGATGCACATATAGGAAGTCTTTAGAACAGACTGTGCCTTACAGACATTATCACTGGAGTTGTAGGAAAAAACGAGAGTACCATGTTATAAAATTCGGAATTTAGAGAAAATACGAGTTAACAAGATGTTCTTGTCTATATGCTTTGTGCAGCTAATATCTCATGTAGGTGTTTTTTGTTGTTGTTGTCAGAAGTGTCTGGAAATGTTTGAAGTTGACTTCAGTCTCTCCTTTGTGATGAACAGAAAGCAAGCCACTTTGCAGAGAGGATATTTAGGTAATACTACGAACTGTAAAGCAGATGATCACAAAAGGACTAGTTCCCATGAGTGTAAGAATATCTTTGTTTGATGACGTGTGCAGTGTAGCAATTCTACACTTATTAAGCTGTTCTTGTCATACAATTACAACTTTCATTTACATCTTGAGGCAGTGCAAAGTGAACAATCACAAATCTATACTTCTAATGGTTAATGTGATTTTTCTTTTCTCTGCTGTTGGCAAGAGATGAAAATCTCAACACTTAAACTGGATTCATTGAGCTCACAGAGCTTCTGTTGATGGATGTTGATAAGTTCAAGATCTTTCTAGCACCTTGAACACTAGGAAAGGACACAAAGGGCCGCCTCTCACTCACCTGTCTGTTACGCTCATCCATAATCCTCGTGATCTGAATCTTTTTTCTCCCCATAGTCCCCGTGTTTCTTCTCTCTCTCGTCCCTGAAATTATGTATTTTTTCCTTCCTTTTCTTTCTCTTTCCTGTTTCCTTCAAACACGTTTCCTTCTTCAGCACGTGCACAGCTCAGTTCCCAAATCCTTGCATTCGTTCCTGCTGAACAAAATGAAAGCCAGTAAACAGTAGTTCCACGCAAGCCACTAAACAGTAGTTCCACGCAAGCCACTGAACAGAAGTTCCACGCAAGCCACTGAACAGTAGTTCCACGCAAGCCACTAAACAGTAGTTCAGCACAAACCACTGAACAGAAGTTCCACGCAAGCCACTAAACAGTAGTTCGGCACAAGCCACTGAACAGAAGTTCCACGCAAGCCACTAAACAGTAGTTCCACGCAGCCTACTCAACAGTAGTTCCGCGCAGGCCACTAAACAGTTCCACAGCAAGTCAGTGTCATAAGAACTAACATGGTCTTCCAACTTCAGCAAGGAAATAGGCTGCAATGAAGCAAAGCAATAAAAGAAATGAAAAATAACTGTTTGTTAAAAGCATATGGCACATCACATACAGGAGCATATACACAGGGGTGAATTGCTTTTATAATTAAAACAAGCTCATAAGTAATTTAAGAAGTCATTTAAATGATGAAAACCGTGTTTTAAAACCCAACACTTGAAATGAACTGTATTTTTTGTAAAGAGCTTCTTAATATTTTTAATGAAATTAGGTGACAATTTTCACCCCTCTGTTATGAAAAATTACCTAAATCAGAGAGTTAATGAACCTTTATATACCTGTGTATGCTAAGTAGGGCATCTAATTCATTTCTGAATGGAAAACAATCTCGTGTTTTGACAGCAGAGGTGATAACGTCCCTAGTTATGCAAATAGGATGGACAATTATGAAAGTGCTCTTTGATATATGTAAATGTCAACTAATTTAAAACTAAATCCTTTAATCTTATTTTACAAAGATCACTACAGAGAACACAGGAAAAGTAATATGGGATGTTTCGTCTTATGTTCAAGCATCGCTTAGCAGTGAGAGCATTTCCTCTGGGAAACCTTTACACTGTCCATTAAAACAATACTCAAAAATGATGGTTACTGATAAAAAAAATAAGTGGTGCAAAAATTAAGATTATTATTTCATTTGTAACTATATACTTTTTAATAATAGACCATCAGCCCTCTAAATTTAAATGTTTAAAAGAGACATATCATATCTCCTTAGGGAGTCAGACAAAAATTACAGAAGCTTGATATTATATACCAGAGAGCTCTAGGTCATGAATTAAAATTAAAATAATGATTATCAATTACATGGCAAACCCAAAGAGCACAGAATATTAAAAGTCTATATTTTACTCTGTTTAAAATGACGTCTAAAAATATTTGCACATAATGAAAGTGAATTGCTCTGAAATGGAAGTTGACTAGGGAGCATCCCACAATGCCTCCTTCATTTGCAAGCGGCAGCTTCAGTTATTTTGTCTCCTCTCATGGCAGTGGCTACAACTACTTTACACACTGCTCTGAACTTCTCTGTTGACGCTGGTTAGTCTGTGACAGCGGACCTGAAAAAAATCCCACATGTATTATGTAACGCTAAACCACTGTCCTGGCTACTTATTAGGTTATTTGGCTTGAGTTCAAGGTTCTTGGGACAGAAAAGGCTGTTAGATACTTGGTCTGATTCTTAGCTGCCTTTAAATTTCTTTATTCCTCGTCACCTTAAGTACATTTTTTAAAAATATAAGTTTAGGTAATTATCTAATTGCGGAGGCTATTATGATATAATTAGTTCTGCTGGATTAAGCACTGCTTAATCACTGAGACTACCCACTCTCCTTTGCCCAGTGTCTTTGTACTGAACGGCAGGCAGCTCACTTCAGCCTCTTGGCATACACATGTGAGCAGCTCCACGATCAGCCTGTGCTTCTCACAGATGATAACTCCAGCCAGTTTTCAACGTCAGCAGCAGTTCTAAAGTTTTGAACTTCATATAAACACATACTGACTGTATGAAACGCTCACAACCTGAAGACACTGCTGTAAGACACCAAGATCACATCCACGAAGAACCTACAGAGCACAATACATCAGACTTTCAACAGCGCTGAACAGTCTACCCATTTAGTCCTAGAAATGGCCCTAAAGATCACACAGCTGGGAACCTTTTCTGCATTCCCTATTGTCTTACCCAAGAAGAAGGCAGCAGTCCAAAATGCTATTTCCCATGCATGTGCAAGACACCAAAGAGACAATCAGGCTTTCTCCATCACAGAAAAAAACTATCCATCAACCCCAGTTAAAGCCCTATGGGCACATCCCCCTTCCCTTCTCTTAGCAGAGGCCAGTGTTGCTATCGGCTTACTGGGCTGTGCCTGCCTAAGCGCTTACTCACATTAGGTGGAAGGTCAGGGCAAACAGATTAGAGTGCAGAGGCGCGGGGGAGAGGAGGTCAGCGGCTACAGACCTTGATTCAAAACACTTATAACCAAGCATGTGGGGAGACACTCCTGACAAAGACTCTCCTTAGAGCCAGGCTGTGTTCCTGACCACCAAATGCAAAAACCACCCCTCCACATCACCACCCAGCATTTTTACTTAGAAGACACTGTTTAGAAGGAGCCAAGTGACATGTTGGTTTGTTTGTTTGCTTTTATTCTTAAAACACAATGGGGAATATTCTTTTAGAAATACATCTATAAATGTACTAACATGCTTACATGTGCATGCTTACACACATATATGAAATGATTGGGGAACATGCCACTGAAAATAGGCCCCTTGTTGAAATATGCCTGGTATGGAGAAAGATGGAAATTTAAAGCTAACTCAACTTTTATTTTGCTTGCTGTAAAGGGCAATATTCAACTTACTAACTGCAGTGTTGCTTTCTGAGCATTCTTAAAATGTAGCACTGTATAAAGTCCACATGCAGAATAGCAAGACAGCGATGCTGTAGCACTCTGTGGAAGACGTCTCCACATTTCCAGGCTATCAGTTAGAATCCAAAGAACTAGGAAGGTCAGCACCAGCACACAACTTTTGTAATTTTTATTCTTTAGCATAACTATTTATTAACCTGATTTTTACATAAAAAACACACTGCATGGTTGTTTCTAGTATTAATTTTAGGAGGGCTAGAGAAAAAAAGATGATTATTACCACAGTAACCTGTTTGGTTGTCTCACAGAAATGTGAAAAAAAAATATTAATAATTTAACTACATATAGCAGCATTTCAGTCTCAGCAAGAACTTTCACTATATATTATCAATCTCAGGCTTATTCTGGACACTACAGTTTTCATATGAAGGAACCGCTCTTGGAAAATGATAGTTACGGAGAAACAGTCAAAACTTTGAACAAGAAGGAAAGAAAAAGAACCCTCTATGGAGTTACAGGTTGTACTTTCTCCTCTTTTGCCAGCTTAAATAAAAAGGTAAAATCCATCTGCTTACTAAAAAGGGGAACTTCGGTTCGGCAGGCTTCTGCTCAATTGGAGATTGCCATAAGCAGACAGATGAAGGCAGAGTGGTTTGAGACCCTCGCAGAGAGTACTTCTCTTGCAGGCCCCCTCATTTTCAAACAAGCCGGCTTGATTGACATGCACCTCCCCCTTCTTCCTTCTCCCACTCTGTCTTGCCCTCTTCCCTTCCTCCCTCCTTCCCTTCAGCAAATCCCTCCCAGTAACAGAAGAATCTTGACAGAATGGCAGGAAACACGCACAGACTGGGCAGGGAAGGATGTGATGTCAGCGACCGCAAACAATAAAAGGTGCAAAGGTGCTTCCTTCCCTAAACTGCTCCTCAAGTGTAAAATGGGAACCAAAACTCTCCACTTCCTTCTCCGAGCAGAGCAGGCTGGTATGCAGCACACCCCACATTCGGGCTTTGGGGTGGCTCAGATAAAGGACAGCAGGGAAAGGCAGAGCAGAGGTACAAAGTGTCTAATTTCTGTCTTTCCAACACCTGAGAAAAAGGCATTCCAGTTCTAGGTCAATGTTTTGTTGTGACTGACTTAAGAAATCAATATGAGAAAATAAATAGACTAAGTCGACATGGGGAAAGCAGATACACACCCAGTGCCATCGACCACATCTTACCCAAATCACATTAGCTAGTAAATGTCGCCACAGACTTTGAATTTACACTTTGAAGCAAATGAAGATTTCTACACAAGGAAAAAAACAAAACACAAGAATTACGACTTTGGGGAACTAAATGAATCAGGATGGCAGTAAACAATGTTTGTTGGTAATACGCATTGATAATTTATTTAGGCCCACACCTAAAAAGAAAGATCAGGGTGTAAGAAAATAGTTCCTGTTACTGAGACTCAGGGTACCTTAAAAAAGATCCAATTAGCAATCAAAGAAACTAACACGAACTTTCAGTCTATGGTGAAACTATTTTAATCTCATCACTGCTTGGCTCCTTCTAACATAGAAATGGCAGTCTACCCTAAAGTTTCTGTAGGAAGAAAACCACATAGCAACTGGATCTGAGTCATCATCAAATTTCAATCGCCTTCCCACAACACTTTGATTTAGAAATTAAACATAACCTTCAGTTACGTGTTTTGATCATAGAGTGAGGCTCCCATGCCACATTAAAATATGTGGGAAGAAATTAATTCTCTGCTGCTAAAATTACCTTTGCAAAGCATGTATTTTTGTTCCAATAAGTACAGTGCACTCACTTAACCAAAACAGCCTATGGACAAGGCTAAAACATTAGAATATGCAAGGTCAATCTGCAAGGAAAGAATTCTGGATTTCTTTTATTCAGATTGGCAAGTACCATTTCCACTGACTCACATTTGCCTCTCCATCTGAAGACCTTGTTTTGTAAAACTTAAGGCTGTAAATTAGGCATGCTGTGTTATACAAGAAATAGCATTGTTAAGTCAACGAAAGGCCCATGTACAGCAAGAGGCGAGAGTAATGCATGCCCTGTCTCTGCAAGCCTGTGTTTGTAACTGACTCAAGTGATTCAGTGATCCACTACCATTTCAAGTGGGAAGCTTCGCTCATTCCTTGCGTTTAGATACATTAAACTTTCTACTTTATGATTTGTTTGAAAGACATATGAGGCGTGCAATTATACTTTGGTTAAAAAGAACTAGCAGAACGTACCTATTTTCCC